TGGTTTACATGTACTTATTGCCAATGTTGTCTGAAATACTCTTGATGCCACTTGATGTTTCTGTGTGTGCAACCTTTTTTTATCCTAAGTCAGAAGCTCCACCACAACATATTTAAGAAATTTTCCAAATTTACTACAACCGTATCCCAATAATCTTTCTGAAACAGAATTCTCTCAAAGTGGTGTCCATGTTTGGTAAATACGAAGAAATCACACCATTGTTTATTGCAAATTGCCATTTGCCCTTGTGTATAGTAGTTGTGATTTCTTTGTAATGTGATGTTACTTCCTTCTTTGACTAAGTATGTTAGATTTCGATAACATGGTGTGGTGTGTGCAATACTTAATGGACATTTAAACTCCTCCAAAACACCAGAACCACAACAAGAACACTCTACCATACCATCTGGACTTCAACCTAAAGAGACCTTTTTGGTGTCAATGTACAGCCCTGTTTCCTCGACTTTTAAATTTTGGTGTATCCTCTGTAATAGTATACTCTTATACTTTCTTCTTGCTACTGGTTCCATGAACCTGCCATACTTTAGTGCTGGGGTATTACTAGTTTTTTTCTTTGTAGCCAAGGATCTCACTGACTAATGATTCTGTGTTTTCAGCATTATTTTTCTTCAATGTTTGTGATTTAGTGAAAATAGAATGCATTCTAGAACATGTTATTCTTCCTTTCCTTTGATTAAACCATTCTGTTTTTTCACTTTGACCACGTGTTTCCTTCATAATTTTCTCCCTTTGGGCATCTGTATACTTTTCAAGTTTTTCAAGAACTTCATTATAATCGTGACACTATTCAACAGTCTCTGGTAATGATAAAAGTAAAACCGTCCCCTCAGTAGTAGTGACAGTTTCAGTAGACAGAACATTAAAATCTTCAGATGGTTCATAATTTGGGTTGTTGTGTTGTATGCACTGGAATACTGCAGCATTTTGACATGCTAGTAGTAGGGCATCACTCAACTTCCCTAAAGATGGTTTTGTTCCCTGTGTTGGCTGAAATAGTTGTCGTTTGGTTGGGTGAATTGACTGACTTTGTCCTACAAAATAAAACTGTGAGTAATCTACATGGAACAGTTCATTTCACACAAGAGAAAAATTATGTTAACGTTTCCTGAGTAAAAACAAACGCAGGATTTTGGATAGTATTTCAAACTTTAAGTTTTCAAAGTAAATAAAATGACATTAAAAGAAATTTTATAGGCAAGCAATGTCTGAATTTCCCCAGATGCTTTCTCTACAAGAACCCATGTAGTATGTGGTACATCATTTATACGTTGAGATGCAGTACATTTTGACTTCAAAAAACAATACAGACTATTGTTGTCAATATGATGGTAACACACTTCCTTCAGCCATCCAGACGTGAAATAACTGTAGGCCTTTCCCTACTTATATTCCTTCATTAACCTGTCACTCAGTGATTTGTCTTTGTTTTTCTGAAGGAAGGTTGCTATATCATAGTACATTGTAGGAGGCCACATAGAAACACCCTTGGATTCTGTAATCCATCCACTTGTTAAGTCTATCAAGGGATCTGGAACAATACCTATAAAGAACAAAGGTTTTGTTTAATGATTTTTTTTAAATTTAATTATAACACTGAAAAGCTATTTTTTGCTAGTTTCAAACATAGATCTTTGAGTATAGTTTACATTGGCACTAATATCGATTTTGTCATCAGCAAATTTAAACATAACTAAATTTGTATTCTTTTCAAACGGGATGTATAAAGACACACCCACGTTCATTTTGATCTATAAAGAGGTTAACTCCTAACTATCCTACTGCCTGTCGATACATTTATTTTTGGCATTGCACAAGTCATGTCTTCTTTGACTGTCCATGACGTTTAAATACTAAATCCCCGGGATGTGTTTTAGTTGATTTTAGTCTCTGATGCAATGATTTTTTATTATTAATTGTTTTTGGCTTTTAACTAGCTGTCAGTAACTGCGAGTACTCTTAAATCGTACTTTCTTGTTTATTTGACCTGTTGATACTAATTGTAATGCTTTTTTGATATTTAATGTTTACTTATTCATGGTTATATCTGGTCTATATACCAGCTTTGATAAGTGTTTGGTATTACTATAAATTTTCACTTCTTCGTACTATGAACATCAAATTGTTTATTTTGTAAAAATATTTCCTTTCTTCATTTGAACTGTATACGTATACCTAACAACAAAATTATTTTCATTTACCTGTGTTAAAAGTAATTGCAAATGGCTGATATTTTGGTTCAAGCATATTGTTTTTCTTAAATTGTTTAACATTTCACAGCGGTATGACATGTTACTTTTAATAATTCTTCCCTTGGTTTATTTATTTTGTATCTACATTGTGTTCACTGGTGTTAATATGTCTTTTGATTGCCATTTCAATTGATATTTCATAGTGTGTCTTTCTATGTTGTGATGTTATACTATTGTTTCAGATAAGGGTGAAGGTTTGGTACCATTGAAACGTTTAAACCCGCTGCAATTGTTTGCACCTGTCAGTCAGGAATCTGATGTTCAGTAGTTGTCGTTTGTTGATGTGGTTCATAAGTGTTTCTCGTTTCTCGTTTTTTATATAGATTAGACCGTTGGTTTTCCCGTTTGAATGGTTTTACACAAGTAATTTTTGGGGCCCTTTATAGCTTGCTCTTCGATGTGAGCCCAGGCTCCGTGTTGAAGACCGTTCTTTGACCTACAATGGTTTACTTTTATAAATTTTGACTTGGATGGAGAGTTGTCTCATTGGCACTCATACCACATCTTCTTATATCTATCAACAGGTCATAAATATTCAAGTTATATCAATGAACAGGTGCATAATAGTATTTATTTCTTTCCATTGATCAGTGATGAACCCCACGCTGACAACATTCTGTTCCAATGAATATTATTTCTTCCCCTAAAGTTTTTAACTCTCAATAAGCCCTGTGATTTACCTCATGACCATCTTGAACCAGTTTATTACAAGCAGATATCTACTTGCTTGCCATGTATATGAAGTGTCTCCTTTGCAACTCAACCTGTACATGTTTACTTATGGTCACCATTGTTTTACTTAAAAGAAACTTACAATCAGCTTCCGGTATAGCAGTTAGGCCCTATATATCTTATATTTTTTCACTACAATGTAGAATCACAGTCGCACGAAGCTTTCTAAATTATAGCGAAAAAATGGGGGAATCACATTTCCCCCATTGTTTCGCTATAATTTTGAAAAGCTTCAGGCGACTGTGGTAGAATGTCCAAACATTAATATATACAGGAGAGTCAATCCAGTGTCAATAGCGACACATAATCTATAGAATTATACAGAATGTATGTATGCATGTTTTTAGTTTTGCTGGCTGTGGGCGTGGCACATAATCATGTTCCAGATCCCTTGATAGACTTAAGAAGTGGATAATTACTATAAGAGTACAGTGAGAAATTACCATGAGCAACGGTGTATCAAAAGAGAAAATTATTAGTACAGAGAGACAAGTTGTGCCATTTTTGACCTTAGGATCAGGATCAGGATAATCATGCTAATTGTCTGTGTATTATCATTTTACTAGTAGATTTGAGCTATTGGTATTATGCAAAAATGAAGGGATTTTCATAATTGTAACCTTTTGGTGCTTTCAATTTGTCACAGTACTGATCAGCTTTCAGTTTTCTCTCTTCGGCGGGTGTAGGCACTAGCTTAATCTCCATCAAATGGGCAGAATAAACCAGTGCTACAAGTTCTTCTTTCTTCCCAGATGTTCTTAAACCACGTATTCGAAGATACTGTTACCGGTACCTTGTACCGTCCACCGTTTAAAAGTATCAATCGAGGTGTCATTTTCATACATCTCGATTGAAACCCTCACACCTTCTTCAAAATGTAACCGCCAAAATGCTTTGCTTATCTTCCTTCCGATCCCACTATGCAAAGCGGGAAATCTCCTATGTCTCGGTAGTAATCGAAAAGAGGGACGAAAGATACCAGAGGGACAGTCAAACTCACAGATCGAAAACAAAATAACAACGTCATGGCAAAAAATAAAAAGACAAACAGACAAATAATAGTACAGATGACACAACATAGAAAACTAAAGAATAAGTAACACGAACCCCACCCAAAACTGGGGGTGATATCAGGTGCTCCGGAAGGGTAAGCAGATCCTGCTCCACATGTGGCACCCGTCGTGTTGCTTATGAAACTCCGAACTCGCTTATTGTAACTGTTAAAATTGAGTATGATTATATCGACGCATGACTTTTGTCGTAGGTTCTTTTACCTTCTTTGAATAATTTAAAGACACATTGATCATTATTGTTTTGAAAATTGTTAAATTTCAATAGGAGCTCTGAAATTGTTCATTTCGAAATTGATTGTTGTGAAAAATTATTTGTTGCGTTGCTAATTATGAAGGCAAGCATTCCCTTAAAGCCTGAAGGACAGGAAACAATATATGAGGTACCATATACTTATAATTTATAAGCCAGATGCTCGTATAATATTGTGGCAATGGCACTCTATTTAGAATTGTGTTTTTTTTTTAATATCGAAGCCTAATTTCAAAAGTCTTGGAAATGATGTATGAGCATGTGGGTATATGTCGGAATTTAGTTGTAAGGTCACACTACATTTAATTGTTCTTCATATTTTCTATAAATAAAGGGGCGTTGGCAATTATTTTGTTAATTATCCGCATATGGATTGGAATTAAAAGAAAATTATATCAAATCGGACGCGCTTACTTTTGAATATGTTGAAATGAAAAAAAATCTTTTTCTGGAATCGAGCGATGTTTGAAAATTTTTGATGTAGGCTAGGGTAAATTTCGCAACGGTTTCAATAAGGATAGAGGGAACCTTGTATCATCCCGTTTTTTTGTAGTTCCTTTTTGTAAAGGTTGTGATTTATATTCATTTTATATAGCCATTTTAATTTTGGGAATTGTACTTTTTTATCATTGTGTTTCTCCCTAATAGTTTTTAGATGTTTTTGTCTTATTACCTTTTTTCAAACATGTACTTATTGTTTTTCAGTATTGAGTATATACAAAGACCATTGTATATTAAACCAACAATGGAACAAAAATATATTACAGTCTGTGTATTGTTCGTTCTCTTTGTTACACCTGTTCAAGGTAATATATTCTAGATCAAGGTAGATTAATTTGCTGTCTATTTGTCTTGATTAAAGTTATAAATAAACAATTATTTTAAGCGTAGACACAATTTTATTATAATAAGTAGTATCGGTATACGATCAAGTTATATTAAATTTAAAATTATCAAATTAGTAAACGATCGCTTCAAAAATAAATACAAAAAGCACTAACAAAATTAAAAACCAATTGTTCAGAGAACAATTGAAGGTCTTTCCACCCATAAAGAGCTATTTTGATATAAAAATATTAAAAATCGGTTTAAAATGTCATTTCCAGCGTCAAATGATAGCTTATTGTACGCTGATTCCAAAAATATACGGTTTCTTAACATTTTTTTTAAATAAAGGAGATAATTTGTTATTTCCGGTTTGAAAAATGTTACTTCCGGTATAATTTGAATGTTGACTTCACACTGATTCAAAAAATATATGGTTCTATATACTTTTATATTAAAATAAGTACAAAAAATAGCTACTTCCGGTTTACACAAGGTCACTTCCGGTTGGATTTTTCAAGGTTAAATGGCTTGCAACCTAATGCAAAAAGTCCCATGGCTTCATCATGTATACATATGAAATAAAAGCAAAGGTCAAAATCTAGAACGTCAAATTTACCTATGACCTTGAGCTCAATGTCAAGGTCATAAACCAAGGACCTCAAATCAATAGACCCTAGGTCTTAGTTATATATAGTTAATGAGTTATATCACCATACGCGTATTTTTAAATATAAGAGGGGAGAAAACTCTAATTTTATGTTAGCGCACCCTGTAAACCAAAATGTATGTGTTACGACATGTCGCAACTAACAATTTAGTAATAATATGTTGTCGATATCTTATATGGTTTTTGAAAAGAAGTGAAAATAAGCCAAAATCAAAATTTAGAATATAACCTTGACCTTTGACCTTGACCAAAATATCTTTTTTTTGGGACCAAGGACCTCAAATCAAAAGTCCCTAGGTCTCTATCACTTATGATTTACCAGTTAGAAATTCATATCACTTATATCAAATGCATAAGGGGAAATAACTCTCATATGGAGTCTCCGGAACGCTTCGGTGAAAACCAAATTCAACATCCTAAAGATGTAACGAGCAATTTGGTAAAATAAATTTGTCATAATCTTTTACGGTTGCGAAGGAGTAGTGGCCACAAGAAAAATAGTGTTTGGGGAGATAACTCTTACAACGTAAGGTATTTGGTTACGCGGTTGTCAGTTTTAAAAGCGTATAAACTATACGATATTATATTCCAAATATCTAAGCGACATCTTATGAAACAACAAAACTACGCAAGAAGAAAATTAGGCGGAAGAAAAAAAATAATAATTAAAACCAATTGTTCAGAGAACAATTGAAGGTCTTTCCACCCATAAAGATCTATTTTGATATAAAAATATTAAAATTCGGTTTAAAATGTCATTTCCAGCGTCAAATGATAGCTTGTTGTACGCTGATTCCAAAAATATATGGTTTCTATACATTTTTTTTTTAAATAAGGGAGATAATTTGTTACTTCCGGTTTGAAAAATGTTACTTTCGGTATAATTTGAATGTTTACTTGACACTGATTCTAAAAATATATGGTTCTATATACTTTTATATTAAATAAGTACAAAAAATAGCTACTTCCGGTTTACACAAGGTCACTTCCGGTTGATTTTTCAAGGTCAAATGGCTTGCAACCTAATGCAAAAAGTCCCATGGCTTTATCATGTATACATATGAGGTAAAAGCAAAGGTCAAAATCTAGAACGTCAAATTTACCTATGACCTTGAGCTCAATTTTAAGGTCATAAACCAAGGACCTCAAATCAAAAGACCCTAGGTCTTAGTTATATATGGTTAATGAGTTATATCACCATACGCGTATTTTTAAATACAAGAGGGGAGAAAACTTTAATTTAATGTTAGCGCACCCTTTAACCAAAATGTATGTGTTACGACATGTCGCAACTAACAATTTAGTAATAATATGTTGTCGATATCTTATACGGAGTGAAAATAAGCCAAAATAAAAATTCAGAATATGACCTTGACCTTTGACCTTGACCAAATTTTCTTTTTTTTGGACCAAGGACCTCAAATCAAAAGACCCTAGGTCTCTATCACTTATGGTTTACCAGTTAGAAATGCATATCACTTATATCAAATGCATAAGGGGAAATAACTCTCATATGGAGTCTCCGGAACGCTTCGGTGAAAACCAAACTCAACATCCTGAAGATATAGCGAGCAAGTTGGTAAAATAAATTTGTCATAATCTTTTACGGTTGCGAAGGAGTAGTGGCCACAAGAAAAACAGTGTTTGGGGAGATAACTCTTACAACGTAAAGTATTCGGTTAAGCGGTTGTCAGTTTCAAAAGCGTTTAAACTGTTCGATATCACATACCAAATACCTAAGCGACATCTTATGAAACAACAATACTACGGAAGAAAAAAATTAGGCGGAAGAAAAAAAAAAAATAATAATAATTAAAAACCAATTGTTCAGAGAACAATTGAAGGTCTTTCCACCCATAAAGATCTATTTTGATATAAAAATATTAAAATTCGGTTTAAAATGTCATTTCAAGCGTCAAATGATAGATTATTGTATGCTGATTCCAAAAATATATGGTTTCTATACATTTTTTTTAAATAAGGGAGATAATTTGTTACTTCCGGTTTGAAAAATGTTACTTCCGGTATAATTTGAATGTTTACTTGACACTGATTCCAAAAATATATGGTTCTATATACTTGTATATGAAATAAGTAGAAAAATAGCTACTTCCGGTTTACACAAGGTCACTTCCGGTTCGATTTTTCAAGGTCAAATGGCTCGCAACCTAATGCAAAAAGTCCCATGGCTTTATCTTGTATACATATGAGGTAAAAGCAAAGGTCTAAATCTAGAACGTCAAATTTACCTATGACCTTGAGCTCAATTTCAAGGTCATAAACCAAGGACCTCAAATCAAAAGACCCTAAGTCTTAGTTATATATGGTTAATGAGTTATATCACCATACACGTATTTTTAAATACAAGAGGGGAGAAAACTCTAATTTAATGTTAGCGCACCATTTAAACCAAAATGTATGTGTTACGACATGTTGCAACTAACAATTTAGTAATAATATGTAGTCGATATCTTATACGGTTTTTGAAAAGAAGAGAAAGTAAGCCTAAATCAAAATTTAGAATATGACCTTGACTTTTGACCTTGACCAAATTTTCTTTTTTTAGGACCAAGGACCTCAAATCAAAAGACCCTAGGTCTCTATCACTTATGGTTTACCAGTTAGAAATGCATATCACTTATATCAAATGCATAAGGGGAGATAACTCTCATATGGAGTCTCCGGAAATCTTCGGTGAAAACCACTCAACATCCTAAAGATATAGCGAGCAATTTGGTAAAATAAATTTGTCGTAATCTTTTACGGTTGCGAAGGAGTAGTGGCCACAAGAAAAACAGTGTTTGCGGAGATAACTCTTACAACGTAAAGTATTCGGTTAAGCGGTTGTCAGTTTCAAAAGCGTATAAACTGTTTGATATCACATAACAAATATCTAAGCGACATCTTATGAAACAACAATACTACGCAAGAAAAAAATTAGGCAGAAGAAAAAAAAAAAAAAAATTAAAAACCAATTGTTCAGAGAACAATTGAAGGTCTTTCCACCCATTGATCTATTTTGATATAAAAATATCAAAATTCGGTTTAAAATATCATTTCCAGCGTCAAATGATAGCTTATTGTACGCTGATTCCAAAAATATATGGTTTCTATACATTTTTTTTTTAAATAATGAAGATAATATGTTACTTACGGTTTGACTAAGGTTAATTTCGGTATAATTTGAATGTTTACTTGACACTGATTCCAAAAATATATGGTTCTATATACTTTTATATTAAATAAGTACAAAGAATAGCTACTTCCGGTTTACACAAGGTCACTTCCGGTTGGATTTTTCAAGGTCAAATGGCTTGCAACCTAATGCAAAAAGTCCCATGGCTTTATCATGTATACATATGAGGTAAAAGCAAAGGTCAAAATCTAGAACGTCAAATTTACCTATGACCTTGAGCTCAATTTCAAGGTCATAAACCAAGGACCTCGAATCAAAAGACCCTAGGTCTTAGTTATATATGGTTAATGAGTTATATCACCATACGCGTATTTTTAAATACAAGAGGGGAGAAAACTCTAATTTAATGTTAGCGCACCCTTTAAACCAAAATGTGTGTGTTACGACATGTCGCAACTAACAATTTAGTAATAATATGTTGTCGATATCTTATACGGAGTGAAAATAAGCCAAAATCAAAATTCAGAATATGACCTTGACCTTTGACCTTGACCTAATTTTCTTTTTTTTTGGACCAAGGACCTCAAATCAAAAGACCCTAGGTCTCTATCACTTATGGTTTACCAGTTAGAAATGCATATCACTTATATCAAATGCATAAGGGAAATAACTCTCATATGGAGTCTCCGGAACGCTTCGGTGAAAACCAAACTCAACATCCTGAAGATATAGCGAGCAATTTGGTAAAATAAATTTGTCGTAATCTTTTACGGTTGCGAAGGAGTAGTGGCCACATGAAAAACAGTGTTTGGGGAGATAACTCTTACCACGTAAAGTATTCGGTTAAGCGGTTGTCAGTTTCAAAAGCGTTTAAACTGTTCGATATCACATACCAAATATATAAGCGACATCTTATGAAACAACAATACTACGCAAGAAAAAAATTAGGCGGAAGAAAAAAAAAATAATAATAATAAACAGAACAAAATCAATAGGTCTTTCCATGGAAAAGTGGAAAGACTTAATAATAATAATCAGAACAAAATCAATAGGTCTTTCCACGGAAAAGTGGAAAGACCTAAATATAAATCAATTGTTTTAAAAACAATTGTTAACGGTCTTTCCCCTCCGAAACATGATTGATTGATTGATTAATTGATGGATTGATTGATTGATTGATTGACTGATTGATTGATTGTTTGATTGATTGATTGGTTGATTGATTGATTGATTGATTACACACGTAGGATAGGGTCGCTTGAAACAAGCAAAGACGAAACAAATGAGATCTTGGACCTGTATTAAACACAAGGGACCACAACAAGCATGTAATGGTTGGTTGGTTGGTAGGTAGGTGGTTTGGTTGGTTGGTTAAACACATGGGGCCGATCAACTAGGACAACGCAAAAAGGGAATTGAGAGTCTAGTGCCCGTGTTTAAACACGGAACACGTGAAAAAGGCATTGAGAGCCTAGTGCCCGTGTTTAAACACTCGAGACCTAACTTCTAGGAACACGTGAAAAAGGCATTTAGAGCCTAGTGCTCGTGTTTAAACACTTGAGACCTAGCCTCTAGGAACACGTGAAAAAGGCATTGAGAGCCTAGTGCCCGTGTTTAAACACTTGAGACCTAGCCTCTAGGAACACGTGATAAAGGCATTGAGAGCCTAGTGCCCGTGTTTAAACACTCGAGACCTAGCCTCTAGGAACACGTGGAAAATACATTGAGAGCCTGGTGCCAGTGTTTAAACACTCGAGACCTAGCCTCTAGGAACACGTGAAGAAGGCATTGAGAGCCTAGTGCCCGTGTTTAAACACTTGAGACCTAGCCTCTAGGAACACGTGAAAAAGGCATTTAGAGCCTAGTGCCCGTGTTTAAACACTTGAGACCTAGCCTCTAGGAACACGTGATAAAGGCATTGAGAGCCTAGTGCCCGTGTTTAAACACTCGAGACCTAGCCTCTAGGAACACGTGAAAAAGGCATTTAGAGCCTAGTGCTCGTGTTTAAACACTTGAGACCTAGCCTCTAGGAACACGTGAAAAAGGCATTGAGAGCCTAGTGCCCGTGTTTAAACACTTGAGACCTAGCCTCTAGGAACACGTGATAAAGGCATTGATAGCCTAGTGCCCGTGTTTAAACACTCGAGACCTAGCCTCTAGGAACACGTGAAAAAGGCATTTAGAGCCTAGTGCCCGTGTTTAAACACTTGAGACCTAGCCTCTAGGAACACGTGAAAAAGGCATTGAGAGCCTAGTGCCCGTGTTTAAACACTTGAGACCTAGCCTGTAGGAACACGTGATAAAGGCATTGAGAGCCTAGTGCCCGTGTTTAAACACTCGAGACCTAGCTCTAGGAACACGTGAAAAAGGCATTGAGAGCCTAGTGCCCGTTTTTAAACACTTGAGACCTAGCCTCTAGAAACACGTGAAAAAGGCATTGAGAGCCTAGCGCCCGTGTTCAAACACTTGAGACCTAGGCTCTAGGAGCACACGAAAACGGGTCCGTGCAACATTTTAGTTATATTCAAGTTATGATATTTGTAGGAACATGCAAGGATTTAAACAGGCCTTCAAAAATATCCTTCAAAAATATCCTTGCATCTTCCTTTATAAATGTTCTTTTTTTTATATAGTGCTTCCCGGAATTTGTGTCTTATTTTTTACTTATTGATGTTATTGTGTGTGCATTGTATTCAATTTTGTATTTAATATGGCCCGACCTGACCTGCATGGATCTTTTGTATTTAACCTATGTGATTAATTCTTTCCGTAAAGGGGGAAACCCCTATTTTATTTTAGGTAGCAGGCGTTGCACCGGATGGTTGACATGATTGTGACGTCACTAAGCTGATTGATATACACAGAAAGATAGTTTATTTAATTTAGTTGCAGAGAGAGACGTCGTTCTGACCACACCTATGTATAAAGAATGTGCAAACGGATTTAATTTTCTTTCATTTACAGGTCATTGAAGTCTGATCATGCATGCTTTTTTCGTACACATATTTACGGGAACACAGATTTCATTTTAATGCATGTTTAGACATTTGATTCTAGGATTTTACTACTATTTACGAACCTTGGAGGGAATTCTACGTAATTGATTTTAATTTCTCAATCCAGATTGGAACGTTAAGCGGACTGCACGTGATTTATACTGCTAACGGAAAATATATTTTTTCGATTTTTTTTACAGGTAAACTATTGTCCAATCGCTGACCACTGGTCGACTCATTCATTGCATGCACACAAAAACAATGCTGGTGTTATAGTACTTTAACAAAACGTTTATCGATTAATTTTCAGAAATACATGTACATGATTTGGAGCAGATATTTTATTTTGCAGGAATAGATTTGTATTTTTGTATTTCAGAAACAAATTTATTCATGAAAAAAAGGAGTATTAGCATTTTTATAATATAATAGAAATGGGATTCCTAAAAAAAAAGGGGGGGGGGGGGCTAAATGGGTAGTTGTGGGCATTGGATGATTTACAAAGATAAATTGCATGTACGCATCATGAGAGCTGTGAAGTTTGAAGCTACAATTGATTTTTCCATTTCAGTGGCATGAAAACCCCCAAAATACTACGCGTATTATTTCGACAAATATTCACGACATAAATAATGTCGCGACTCACATTTTGCTCACATTTTTTTTCAATTTTACCCCTAACTTTTTTCTGAGTAAAAGCAGTTTGAAGTGAATGTCAAAATTTAGAACATGACCTTGACCTTTGACCTTGACCTTATTTTCTAAGTTGGGACCCAAGGACATTCAATAAAGCGACTCTAGGTTTATACGGCTTACGGTTTATGAGTTTATATGCATATCACTTATATCAAATGCATAAGGGGAAATAACTCTCATATGGAGACTCCGCAGAACTTTGGTGCAAACCGACTCATCATCTTGAAGATATAGGAAGCACTCTGGTAAAATAAATTTGTCGTAATCTTTTACGGTTGCGAAGGAGTAGTGGACACAAGAAAAACAGTGTTCGGGGAGATAACTCTTACAACGTAAAGTGTACGGTTAACAGGGTCAGTTCCAAAAGCGCAATAACTGTTCGATATCATATGCGAAAAATCTAAGCGACATCTTGCAAAACCACAATACTACGCAAGAACAAAATGTGGCGGAAGAAAAAAATAAAATCTCAGAACAAAACCAATAGGTCTTTCCACGGAAAAGTGGAAAGACCTAATAATAATCAGAACAAAATCAATAGGTCTTTCCACGGAAAAGTGGAAAGACCTAATAAACAACAATCATCTAATCAATGAAAAAAAATGAGATACAGTAACCCAAGGAAACACATACAGAATACAAAAAATAGCTGCTACATATTGAAGATATCTTTCCCGGTTCGTCAATTATTTTGAATTAAAGAGAATAAATATGAAAATATACTAATCGCACGTCTCTTTTTTGATCTGAGGAATAATAAATTAATTTGCGTTGGATTTGTTTTTATATACAGGTGAAACCCTGATGACCCGATTATAACGTAACGTCGTTAAACTTTTCATCATACGAGCAGATTTTTATACGACAATCTTGATTATCATATAAGCATGTATGGAATGATAGATTTCAACAGCTTATAAGGTACAGAGAAGTTCAATAGTATTGATATTATATATCGATCAGGGATTTTTTATATTCGTTTATCAACATATTTCAAATAAATAAAAAAAAACTCTTCAAAGATACCAAGCTTATGATTTTAACGACAGACTCACATTCAATCTACATGAGACTAATCAGTTGTCCTTGAATAAAAAAATTTTAAGGCCTAAAGTGCGTTGAATCGAATATCTTAAGTTTTTAGTTAGTATTTGTTGTATCATAACCCGTGTAGCTATGTTTGATTGGTCGATGTTTAGCACTTTAATTATTCCAGTTAGTCAACGTTACTTTTCGGGTTATTCTTTTATACACAAATAAGAAAATGTAGTTGATTTGTAAGAAAGATACCTAGCATCAGTGCAAATTTTAAATCACGTTCAGAATCACATTCATCGAAAAACTCTACGTTTCTATTTAACTTTCGTTATATCATAACCCGTTTAAACCTGTCGTTACATTCCTCTCAATACGTTATTAAATAACTCTTTACGTAAGTGACTGGCCGATGTATCATGTATATAGCGCTGTGGTTATTCTAGTTAGTTAAAATTACTTTGCGTGTTTCTTTTATAAACATAAGGAGATGAGGTTAAAATACCAATGAGACATGATGACTATTGAAAACAAAGTACTTATTCCTTAATTGTAAATCAAGACGTTTATGATTTTGAAATGAAATCTCTGAATAAATGGTTCATCTTTAAAAAGAAATTTGATCAACTATACCTTTCGAAATGAGTACCATTTAATCTGATGCATTAATATGTAATCATTTAAAAGTAATTTACCTAGCCAAACATTTATGTTTTAAAAACTATATCTCTTTAGGCGATGATGAATCAACAGACAATGAAGAATGGACTTCAGATGATATTTGGTGTATAACAAAGAAATATGGAGGAGCTGCAATATTGGGAGCGGGTACAGTAGCCTTGGCACCCGTTGCACTTGGGGCAGCTGGCTTTACCGGGGCTGGTATAGCGGCAGGATCATTAGCAGCAAAAGCAATGGCAGCCAAAGCTGTTGCCAATGGAGGAGGTGTAGTTGCCGGAGGAGTTGTTGCCACCCTTTAATCTGCTGGAGTGGTTGGGTTAGGCGTTGGTGCAAAAGCTGCCATCGGCGCAATAGTTGGCGGAATATACAGCTATTTTGTTGGAGGGTGCTCAGTAGAAGACATTGATTGTAAATTATGATGTCCACTGTTCTGAATATGTTTTAATTGAATCAATGCTTTGATAAACTCTTACTTTTCAAGTACTGAAGCACTTATTTAAAACGAGAAATACTTAACACCAGAAAATGTAATTAAATATTTCAGAGATTATGCTTTTTGTTGATTTATTGTACTTCTTAAGTTTTTATTAGAATTTATTCCTTTTAGACGATTTAAAGTTTTTCACAATTATCATACATCATCGTCATATCTTAGTGTTTGATGTCCTTTCAAGAATTTAGTGTGAAAATAAGGAGATGCGGTATGATTGTCAATGACATAACTAATCATGAAAACGAAATGACAAAGATATGAATTCGAACAATTTAGGATTTACTAACGAGCTACGACTATAATAATGAGCAAAACCCATACCATATAATAAGCTACAAAAGTCCCCTGTATGACAATATGTAAAAACATGAAAACAACCGGCTTGATTAATTCTACAACAATGAATGAAAAACAAATCCGACGGGGACCAAATATCGACAATCGATCGATTACAGATTCAGTGTTCATGTCTCTGCTAAATGATGCACAGTTGGTCTTGATAGGGCTTGAAAATTGATATAACTAATTGTCTATTGAAAACCACACATTGACTTCTAGATGGGTCATGAGGCGTAATTGATTTCCCATAGCCGGTAATGAGAACGTTTTCTTCTGTAGCTCAGTCCATATCGTAAACTTGGATTTGTATGATGGCTTGTTTCGAAGGTGAGACATTTTCACATATGTGGTTAGATTTTCGGGGTACGAAGTGAGATTCATTTTTCCGTAAATTAGCACACCCCGAAAATCCTTTTGTGATGCGACTCCTCGTGGTAAAAAATCCCTCTTTTTCACACAATAAGTTTTTAGAAAATTTAATACCTTGCATACGTTCAATAACTCCATAGTTTTTACACATTTATTCTATGTTCCTCTCCTTTTTGTTTACGCACAACTTTTTGAGTTCCTCACTTTGAGGTGCATTAGGAATTTTGACCCAGATGTTTTCCATGTTGTTTTCTGTGTATTTTGCGTGTGTGTGGTTTTTTGCCGTTTCAAAATCATATCTCAATGTTTGCATCCATAGTTTAAACATGTTGAATATTATATGTTCTGTCTGCAAGGATATAAGAAGATTTAATATTTTATTTAATGCCGAAATTAGAAAAAGGCTTTTTGGAACGTTGAAATAAGTTGTCTGCATTTCTATTTTCGCGTTTAATGGAAAATTTCAAAAATCCTTACTCTGAAGAAAATTTATAATATCACATATATGACTGCCATTTGTGTCACATGCACAATTATCTAATTATATTTGCTTACAAAGCATCAAATATAGTTATGGAGGGTTAAAAGGTAAAAACAAATATTCCGAACTCAAAACAGAAAGTCCTTAATCAAATGGCAAAATCAAAAGCTCAAACACATCAAATAAATGTATAGCTACTATCATATTTGTGACTTGGTACAGGCGTTTTCTTATATAGAAAATTGCGGATTAAACCTGATTTTATAGTTAACTAAACCTCTCACTTGTAGTCGTATTAAATTTACTTATATTGACAACAATGTGTTAACAAAACAAACAGACATAATAGGTTAAAATGTCCATAATAGGGGTACAGCAGTTTACAATCTTAATCACTATAAAAATAAATACAAATATGTCAACAAGCATATAGACATTGTACATAAGCAAAAACGTAAGACAAGATTACAAAAATTTACCATAGCACAATAACACAATGACGGATTTATCAAATTGATGAATACAATATATATTGTCTTCTGTGTAAATACAAATTTTGAAAATTAGTTGATACCTTAATCACTAGATTGTAATGATGTATTTTACAAGGCTTGAACATACTTTTCGAGATACTTGTTAAATCTGGTGCGCACTGACCTTCAATAATAAAAAAATAAAAATAGCCAAATTCATCTTGGGTCAATCTCACCTGAGGCAATCTTTGATACTTTAGAGGTTTTTTTATCCTTAACTTTAAAGAATTTATTTTGTCAGGTAGTGTGATAAAATGGACGATAAAATTTGATTAAGAAAGTTTTGTTAATAGTTTTGTCACCCAACATTTTGAAAAAGACCCTATGGCGTTATTATTAACCAAGTTGAAGTTATAATCAATCAACCTTATATTAAAACGATTCAAGAGCAATAACTCCTTTAAGATTTCATTGGATTGTTTCAGATCAAATGTGTCACATCTTCACATCAAGGTAAACATTTGGCACTTTTTCTTTAATATATATCTTTTAAAGTGTAAGAGAAGACGATAAAACAAGGACAAGTCAAAATTGAGAATATTAACTTGACCTTTCACCTTGACCTCAAATTTATCTTTGTGAACCAAGGACCTCAAATCAAAATACCTTAGGTCTCTACCACTTACCATTCACGCGATACAATGACATATCACTTAAATCAAATACAGAAAGGGAAATAAGTCTCGTATGGAATCTTCATATCGCTTCGGTCAAAATTGGTCATAATATCCTGAGGAAATACCGAGCAATTTTGTAAAATAAATTTGTTAATTTCTTTTAACGGTTACTAATGACATGCACTAATAATGGAAACAGTGTTTGGGGAGATAACTCTTACACAGAAAAATATTCGGTTAAGCAGGGTTATTTTCAAATGCGCATTAACCGTGTGATATAGATACCAAACATTTAAGCGACATATTGCGAATATGCGAAAAAAAATACACACAAGAAATAAAAGTGGCAGAGGAAGAAGAAAAAAAAATATTCGTAAGGTTTTTCCATATAACATTTCTAAATAACTGAGAAGAAGCTACTTTTGGTTTACTCAGAGTTACAACTGGTGTCCAATCATAGGTTTCTGCACACTGATTTAAAAAATATATGGTTTCTATATACTTTTGACTTAATATGAGAGATAATTTATTTACATCCGGTAAAAATTGTCATTTCCAGACTCATAGGATAGCTTTCTTTGCACTATTCTAAAAATATAAGATTTTGTATACTTTTGTCTTAAATATTGGAAATATCTTTTACTTCCGGTTAAGAAAATGTCATTTTTGGTTTCATAAGATAGCTAACTTTCCACTGATTCCGCAAATATATGGTTTATATATACTTTTCTTTCAACGTTGCTGCATTTAGATTTCATTCGATCAGTTGAGTACTTTAATATATTTACGGGTTTTGAACGTCCTTAAACTACTGTTACCTCTTTTTGTTTCCTTTGCCTGGACTGTCAGTGACCGCTTTTACCCGATGTTAACACCATATATGGTTTAAGGAACTTACACGGACTCTGATGGTGATATAAATGCGTACAGATGAGTGCCAACGTAAGGACGATCAGTATTTGGTAAAGCGACTTACAGTTTGATTATGATAGTCCAAGTTACTAGTATACTTTTTTCGTTAGTAATCATTGTATTTTCGGACAGAAACTACTGCCGCTAAAGCTACAGTGTTTTAACTTAGACTAATTTTGAAAGAACGTCTGTTTTGATGGATATTCAATTGGATATAATTTTCTTTTTCAGATGAATATTCATGTGTTCTTCGTTTAAAGATTTCAATAACCTTAAGTAGATCCATAAGGGTAATGGCACGAGAACACAGTTATTTCGTAATGCATTTCTTTAAGACAAATACGCAAATTAAAAAATTCACACCTGCTCTTTCCAAACAAGATTTTTACAGTGTAGTTTTGGGACAAATGATATCAAATTATATAAAAATCTATCGGCTTCAAGTCAAAATATGAATAATTTTATGTTATGGGGGTCTGTAATTCAGTTTGACAGCTTCAGACATACTAATTTTTTACCTTTTCAAACTGGACCATATCACTACTTTACCTAACAATTCATGTAACAATTTTTTTACATGTAATTTCAACCCCCTACTTTCTTTTTAGCCATAAAATACAAAGCCATAAATTTGGAAGGTGTATACAAAAAACTGGCAAGTTATACATTGTCCACACTAGCTAGGGACTCTATTCGTAGACAACGAAATCGAAGGACGATAACTGTGTCCCCGGACCTAATGGACACTCTTAAAACTCAGTGATATCTTTGTGTCAATCTTTTGTTTTTTCTTAATAAATTCTATACATCTAATGAGTAATGCAAATTAAAGTAATTCTGCGTTTTTGTTACACATGAAAGCCAATTGACGAAGCGAACTATTGCAAAGCCTTACTGAAGCGAAGATTTTTCTCCACTACATTATACTTCCGTGCAAAGTTGCATAAAGCAAAAACATGTGTTCTACCCGCAATTTTCTGGTCCGCGTAGTTGATTTAAGATATCCCTATCTATTTACACAGTAAAGTAGCTACGCCCTTTTTTCCCATTCGTATTACGTTCGTTGGTTCCCATCCGTATTATGTTAGTATTCACCTGTAACACTTCAATCATACAGATTGATAAATTTCGTCTATTTTACAGACTTTAAAATAACAGCAACATTGCTCAGTATAACCACTGTTAGACACATAAATATGATATACAAATAGTATTTGAATTTGTGTAATTCTTTCTCCCTTTAGGCAAAGAGACAGAGAGAGGCATACACTATATTTCAGTTGTGTTCTTTTTTCCCTGCTTGTTTTCATACCTTGTTTGGGTGAATACTGTTTTGTGTTTTGATCATGGTGTGTAATATTTGATCTGAAGGTATATGACTATAGGAAGATGTTGTGCATATCCCCATAAGCTTCATCTGAGCTTGACCTTTGACCTTAATGTCAAAATCAATTGATTTTTTTTTCACTTTTCATCTTTGTAACATAACTGTTTAATTCTTTGACATAGGCTTTTGATAATTTTGATCACTGTTAATGTCAAAAAAATATATATTCTTGTTCGTCAAGGTAAAACATTTTCAGTCCAACTAAAAGTTTATCCTCTTCCGCAGGTAATATACCTTATAAAAAATCAAAACATCATATTTTCTTTTAAACCATTTTTGCACTTTGATGTATCAGTTTCTTAATGTTACAATAAAAGAAAGTATAAGGCAATTATTATACAATTTTTTTTTTTCATGAAAACAAAATATGTTCTTTTACATCCGTTATACGGATTTGAAGAGAAACGTCCGTGTAACGGAAGTTTTAGAACATCTATTATACGGAAGTTCCGTTTTACGGACGTGCTACTATTTTCCCGTAAAACGTCCGTGATACGGATGTTTTACCGACGTATTTTATAATGTCCGTGATACGGACGTAGCTATTTTACATCTGTACATAATGGGGTTCTCTCATTGTTGAAGGCCATACGGCGGCCTATAATTGCTTACTTCTAATTCATTTTTAACTCACTCTAATAGATAAAGGTCTCATTAGCAACCGTATTACATCCCATTTTATGTTAGTATCTTTAGTTTACAGTAAAATGTTGTTATAAAAATAAAAAAATATCTAGTTTTCTATTTAGGGTAGTAACGGGTATTTGGGACTTGAACATTAATGTTTATTTAAGAAATTGTGTATCTAATGCACTTTCTCCGACTCCAAGCATTTATGAATTCCTATTTATAATAAGTATGGTGAAACGGAAAAAACTAAATTGAAAAGACAAACTTTATGTGTATTTGTACTTTCATTATCGTTGTAAATTTTCGAAACCCCATGCGCTGAAGGTTTTTCCAATACTTTATAAAGATAAAAACATAATTAAATATATATGTATGTGCTACGTGCACATTTACCTGATGATATAAATTGTAGACATTGAAACATAATAACAGAGGTTTAAACCGAGGGAATAACTTTCACAGATACAATATATTTCTTCATGTAAGTGCCAACATTAAAATAAGATTAAGATGTAATCGTCAAATTTGTATTGTTGTTATACATAACTTTTAATATTCGATTCTTAAACAACATATGTAACATATATTTTGTTCATTTATTTGAAAAAGTGTGTACTCAATTATATTGAAATCATCGGCATATTGTTGTTGATTTATATTTAACCTATGCAGCTGCTTAGTGAGCTCATATACGTCCGTCTTTATTTTGTATAATTGGATATTTTGTGTTTAACCTGACTGATTAAAATAATTTTGCATCTGAGCTTTAAGTCTGAAAATCTTAATAATTGTTACGATGCATGAAGGTAAACATAACTTGATTAACAGATAACACTATATTTGTCACAAAATACGTCAACGTTAGATGAGTTTTTATTCTGATTTAAGTTTTAACATTTCTGAGTGTGGATCATTAGACGCTTACCCTGTTGATGCAACCGGTTGCGCCTTTGCCCAAACCTTTCGGAGTTTTGGGTCGTCAATGCTCTTTGCCTTTATACAAGATTTGGCCTGCATCTTTTTTCTTTATTCGAATATCACAGATGAGTCTTTTGTAGAAGGAACGCGTGTCTTGCGTACAAAAATTATAAGCCTTGTTTCTTTGATGAGTTTTTTTTTAAAGGTCATGTGATGACCTGGTGTTTTATTTTTTACCTTGATTTTTATGTTCTTTATGTATTTTTGAGATCTGAACGATGGTGAAATATATTATTCTTTCCTTAATCTTTTTGTTTGTAAACTGAATATATCGTAGCATACTTTCAAAAGTATAGTATATGATTTCCTAGAATGATGATGCATATCAAAATTTAACAGTAATGTCACATGGTATTAGATTCTTCTTCTTTATATATTTCTGGTTTTTTTTTCAAATAATTATTTTGTTTATTATTCACACATAGTTCTGAAATACAAATGAATGTACCGAATGTGACTGGAAATGACATGCTTTTCTCAATTACTATTAGTTTGATATTCTATTAGCAAGCAGTTCGCTGATTACTTTATACTTGCTGAATGTATTGTGGCAATTCACAATACAGAGGAATTAATCATGATATGAATACCATTTAACAGCGACCTTCCTTGGTGACACAGGGGCATTACGGGGACCCGGGTTATGAAAGCTTTGTGTTAAAGGCTAAAGGTTTACATATTTTTTAGGCCTATTTTTGTGTTTTCGTCTCTTTTTGTCACTGCGGTGTCTTAAGCTTTCTACCGAATAGTTTTTTTATGTTGTTTTTAGTCTTTTTACTATTTTCTATACACTATCTTTTTATGTTCTATTTCAGTAATGAATATACAAATCCTTTGTATATTAAAGCAACAATGGAACGAAAATATATTATAGTATGTGTCTTGTTTGTTCTTTTTGGTACACCTGTCCAAGGTAATATATAATAGGCAACAGCAAATAAATTTCTTGTCCAACTTTGTTGATTAAAATAGTAAAAACAATGTAATATATAAGTATAAGCTTAAACTATAATTTGTAATAGAAGTCTCGAGCATAAGGTCCAATTCTAATAAAGCTAATCTTTAAAAAAAATTAAGTAAACGTTAACAACAGCAACCAAAAGGTCAAACAAAATAAACAACAATTCGTTGTATGAGTTCTATGATGATGTATCTCCAACTGTTGGGAAATTGAATATAAATTTGAAACTCAATATCATAATTTAAATATTTTACTGCAATATATTGAAGGATATGTAGTAGTAGTATCGTATTATCGTAGTATCGGAAGATAGATCATTGCACTTAGCTAAGTATTTGGTTTTCAAATATACAGCTATCTGCATTTTTGTCAAAAGTGGACATACAACAATAAACGACTCAAATCACGGGAATTATTGAAATAAAAAACGATAATATATTAAGGAGACATGTGATACACAGTTACCAAACAAAACCCACAAAATGTTCAGAATACTTTTCGTTGCAGCTCAATTATAATAAATTCAGAACAAAAATAAAAGTATTGTAATTATATCGATCGCACCTATCCATTTCAATCGTGGAAAAAATAAGTTACTTGGTAGGGTGTTCATTCAATATACAATGGAAAAACTGATGATGTAATTCGGTTTGCTTATACGACAACACTAATTTGTACCTGCATATCTATCATCTATATGCATTCATAGAGCTGGAATTGTAATACATGTGAATTAAGAAAACAACAGATTTTAAGATATATGTATGGTTCGATATTAGGGATATTCTATCATGTAACATGTACATTTTATAAATCTGTTATCAACAGGTCTATAAAAGTGCATAGATTGAAAATAATATACCTTGAATCAATACTAAATGCAAATAACATTTCTTTGCAAATTTAGGATATATTGTTAGCATTGGTCACATCAGAACTCGAATAATCGAATCGACATATGAGGGTTTACAGAATAGAGAATAATGGGTGAAAAAAATAAAGAATAGAGAAAAAAGAACCCCAAAAAATAAAGAAAAGGAAATAATGGGGTGCTAAGATATAAAGAAAAGAGAAAAATAGGCAAAATATAAAAAAAAAGAGAACAATAGCATACAAAATAAAACATACAGAGATAAAGGACCCCATTCAAACCTTCACATATTACGCTAACTACGCTCATAAAATCAGATGTTCTTGTTAGGCAGCTACCATTCATCTTTTGTGTGTTTGTTGTGGAGGTGGCATGTTGTTTTTTTTTCTTCTTTGGACAAACAGTATGTTTCAATTTTTATATAAAAATCTATTTTTTTTCATACAGAAATAAGATTTTTTAGTAACTCAATGTTGAAAATTGTTCCCTGATTTCAATGGAAAAACGCGATTTTGTCAATATAACGGAACATAAACAATTGTCATACAAGTGAGATGTTGAAGCTGTAAAACCAGGTTTCTTCGGAAAATGCCTGTACGTTTGTGGATAAATTCTAACGTTTGATTTTGTCTGTTTTTTATGGACTTCCGCCTTTTTGAATTTACTTTGGCAATCATACCACATCTTCTAATTTTTATATTTGGAGTTAAAAAAAATTCTTAACTTCCTTTTTGAATACTTTCGTCAAGAGCTTAACAATCCAGTAATGTAGTAAAATACACATACCCGAGATGAATGGCCGGCACATTAGTGCTGAACAAGAATAGAATTTATTTTGAGGTTTCTCATAGTATGCATTATAATGCAATAGGACATAAAACATCAGTTTTGATTGGATGGTGTCTCCTGACGGTGGACAGTTGCAATTATTAGGCAGCAACATTTTTGCGCAGTCGCTGTTGACCTTTCTACAATATTTCAAATGTTTTATTTTGAATGTCCTACGACCATTGCATTATAATCACTGTCAACTGCGATTAAACAATTGCAATTTTCTTTATTATTTTCTTTATTTTTTTAACTTGTGATTTTGAATGTTCCTTTGGTATATTTTGCCTCTTTTGCAAATATTCTCTTTATAGCTGCGCTATTAAATGTATGTGCGACCAATTTTCCCAATTGACAGTGGCAACTCTTCAACCAAAGTAAAACTAATTATTATTATAATTATAAATCACCGATCTCAATAAAACATCTCTCAATGTAATTTGAATAGATAACAAAACTCATTAAACTATTTGATGAAAAATAAATGTATTTTAAAAACTTCGAATTCCTTAGGCGGAAAAAAAGAAGGATGGACTTCAGATGATGTTTGGTGTGCAACAAAGAAATATGGAGGTGGTGTATTGTTGGGGGCAGGTACAGTAACTGTAGTACAACATGTACTTTGGGGAATTGGTTTTGGCCCGGCTGGTATAGTAGCTGGGACAATTGCAGCTACAGCTATGGCATTTTCAGCTGCTGCCAATGGTGGAGGCGTAGTGGCCGGAGGAGTTATTGCCACCCTTCAATCTGCAGGAGCTGCTGGGTTAAGCATAGGTTCAAAGGCTATTATCGGCGTCGCATCAGGTGGGATATACAGCTATTTAGTTGGAGACTGCTCGGAAAATGACATTGAATGTAAAGAGAAAGAAAAATGATGTCCAATGTCTTAAATATAATGCTTTCATTGAACCGATGCTTTGATAAATTTATTTTTAAATCTCTCAAACACCTTTTTGTAATTTGAAAAAAAAACTATTGCCAACACTAGAATTAGAATATTATTTGTTGATTTATTGAACTTCAAATATACTATCGTAATACATCATTATACTTACCGATGATTTTATGTTTCTTACGAGTATTCCTATTTTATATTTGTATATAAAAGTCGTATGTAAACAGTGATATACATATATATTCTATTTCTTATGTTAGATATACGTCTTTTATTCTTATTGGAAGATGCTTTAAAGAAAAATCTTTTATATAGCGTGGTATTTATGGTGAGTGGTTAACCATTTCCTCATGACTTTACTTTGGTTGTTTTCGTCTGTTTAACTAATATCTAATAGTTGATTTTTTTTCTGAACCAGATTTTATTATACTTTCTCTTGAGTTCATTTCGTTATTCCACTGATCGAGATTAAAGCATGAGTGGATCTGTTTTAAATTAGGGAGTAAACACACTTAAATCTAGTTGAGCTACTATGTTTTTCCCAAGTTATGAAAAATTAACGGAAGATAGCAAGGAGACATACATGAAGTTGACGTTATACTGACAACTCCGTGGCAAACAAAACAAGATGAAAACATGAACAAGTCTACAAAACAATTCATAAAAACCTTAACACAAGAACTGCAGGTCTTCCAGTATAGTAAACAATTCCTGCTCCACATGAAGCACCTATCATGTTCGAAACTGCCTAAGTCGTATTCTATTGTTTTATATCCTTTATAGAATTCAGTATAAATATAGGTGGATGTAGTATGATTACCAATGAGACAACTATTTATATTATCAAATACAGGAGTGGGACAAGAACAATTTTAGTTCATCGCAAAGCGTTCAACAATGACCAAAACCAATGTCGTTTAGCTAATTATAAAAGTGTCCAAGTGTGATAAAACATACCGAATTTACAAAAGAGAAAATCAACGGTTTGATTTATATCACAAAATATAAGAAACACAAGTACGAATGAAAACAAAAAACGCCAACCACTGGATTATATGTTCAGTGTTTATGTACGAATTCGGTAGTAACTGCTTTAAATTGATGCACACCTTGTCTAAATTTGGAACACATTTAACATATGAAAGATATAACGTTTACTTCCAGGTGTATTTCATGTTTTTTTGTTTTTTTTTTTTTGTTTTTTTTTGTGTTTGTTATTTGTGTGCTATCTCATTAGCATAGACTGCCTGAATCGTATTTGACAAATCTTTGCGGAATTGTCGGTGTTTAATGCTCTTTAACCTGGTTTTTGATTTGGTTTTCAAACTGTTTTTATTCGAACGCCACTGATGAGAAATATGTAGACGAAATACGCGTCTTTTACTGTTGATAATCTTCTTTTTTTGTAAGACTTTGTCCATTTTTTCACTTTTGTGTAAATTTGTTTCAGACAGTCGAAAAGAAAGACAGTCGAAAAGTCTGAAACGATATTTAACATCTTCAAAATTTGACTTTAATGAAACTTTGCCTATTGTAAAAAAAATGTACCGATAAACGATGTATGACTAGTCCAGATTCAATAGAAGAAAGTTCAATTTATTTCAAAAATGGAAAGCATTTTACAATTAAACAAAATATGTCTTGTAAAAGTTCAAACGTCATCTATTCTCTCATATGTTCAAATTGTGAGGAATTCTATGTTGGAGAGACAAAAAATGAACTGCGGACTAGAATGACTTTACATAGACAGCAAACCAACCATGAGGTTTTAACACTCATCAGGGCTAACGACCATTTCCATCGTTGTTCTAATGGACGATTTAAAATATTTCCATTGTATATGGTCAATCGTCAAAATGATTTTCTCCGGTGGAAGAAAGAAGAATTATTCATAAACATTCTCAACCCGGGATTAAATGATAAATAATATCTTAATTTTAACGTAACATTTTAAAGACTTAAAATGACATTAGTAGTCTCCCTTGTATTTGTTAACGTCAATCAATTGTTTTATATTATACTTATGTATACAAGTCACAAGTCACATTACCGGAAGATCTGTGAAAGCAGTGAAAGTACTAGTAAAAGTGATGAATTGAAACCGTTATTATCTTTTAATAATTTTCTTATATGTTACCAGCATACGGATTCTACTTAACTTTTTCATATATATATATATATATATATATATATATATATATATATATATATATATATTATTTGATACTATCCAATCACATGTCTTTCCAAACATTAATTTGATGGGGGGATGCTACTTACATAGAAAGTATTAAAGCAAGGATTCTTAGGTTATGTATGCCTTATAATTTATTTTCATCTAAAAATTGACAATGAATGTCGGTTGAGAACAAAACTTCACGATAACATAGATGATATTAGCTTCCCAAATGTAAGCTTTTAATTTCTTTGTGAAGCGACATTCCTTGCATGTAGAATATACATCTCCAAATTGATACGATATCCCAGTTTGCGTTTCAAATCAGGATTTCTTTTAATTGACCATTATGAAATGTCTGTGTCAAAGATGACCACGAATATGATCTAATTGTCATTTATACAACCAGTCCTCTTTTAATTGATTGTGACAACTCCCTCAGAGTGAAATTATTCACCAATTTTTACCAATCAATAGCAAAATAACGGATGCAACATGTAGAGCAGTCTACAGTTTGTCTATGTAGTGTTTTGAAGACTGTTATTTGTTTTTTCGGTTTTTTTTTCGTTTTTTTTTTCTTTTTGAAATGGCGCTTTCCGTTTCTCTTCGACAGACAACATAAAGGCCCAATAAAAGATAACAAGACAAATAATATTGTACCTAAAAAAAATAAAAAATAAAAATTGAACTCCATGAACTAAACAAAAACAGGGTTGAACTCCGGTGCTTCCGAAGTGTCAACAGTTTTTGAATGTCTTTTGGTATCTTCCACCTCTTCCAATGGTAGGATTGTTGCACCGTATATCGGATTATTTAGTTGTTGTATGTTGGTTTGATTGACACCAAATACCAAAATTATTCACACCATAAAATTATCATGATAACACAATAAAAGATTCTCAAAATAGCTAGTTACTAAATATTCTGTTTCAACCTTCTTGTATATACATTGTATTTAAGGTTTACAGTTATAAAGGATTAAGCATCAAGTAATGCATTGAGTTTCAATTAAGTTTGGTGACCCTTCTATAGGCATGTGAGTTACGCAATTGTGCTCTAATATTAAAGCAACGAAAATACAGAATAAAAGTGACGAACCATTTTGTACATATGCCAAGGGAAAAGTTGTTCAAAGCAATCTTTTTTCCGAAAATCCACAGACTTTATTACAATGATTTTCGTTATAAAATCTTATACATAGATTACTCACTTGTTTTTCCATGATGTGCTTGCGTATCTTGTATACAAAAAGTCCTTAAAGGGGCATAAACAAAAATCAAAATATGATTTTTTTTGTTTAATCATTAATGAAAGTGAAATAGTGGAATAATAATTCGTTTTTAGAAGCCAGTTTGGTTAAATTTTTCAAAATAAGCTAGGAAACATCGCTGATGAATTATTCACTTGCAATGGAATATTTCGATCTCATTGAATCCGTATGCATGTGACCTTCAATTTAGCCCCTTGGCTAGAGATGGGTTACGCATGAATTAGGCGTGTTCTGTTATTCAACGGAAGAGAATGTCAACATTGAATGAAAGTGAAACAAGGGTAAACCAATTAATTGACTAATTCGATTCACACAAAAAATCATTCTTATACAGATAAAAACGATGATTAACATATAAAATTTTAACCTATAATATGAAATCAAACAGACCTAGAAAAATCAAATTGATCAAGTTCGCTATCTATTTATATCTATATTCATGGTTAATCAGATGGCGTCTAGACTAAAATACACACGAAATGCTGATACATATTATCGAGTCCGTGCATTGTGAATTATTTATTTTACTCTTTTTATAATTTGGATATACGTATTAGTATGCTATTAATCAAATATGAGAATTAGAGTCAAATCAGTGAACATGAATTTGACAGCTAATGCCCCTTTAACAACATTTTTACAACACTGATCTCGTACGTTTTGGATGATCTGTTTAAATTAATATGGTCGTAAATATTTATTGTGAGAGATTAATTTGGTCTTTTCAATTGAAAAATAATACTGCATGCAATAATTCTCTAAATGTTAATCAACAAATTGTCAAATATAGGGAGGACAACGGAGAAAGGTTGTGGATGGATTTTTATATATAATTCCATATGATTTGCATTGAAATAACAAAAGGGAACATAGTCCTTAAATGAAGAAAATAACATACACTAAGCGTTGATTTGCCATGGCAGAAAATCAAATAATGTGACTTTAAATAATATGTAGGTTGAAAGATCATTAGGTTGCTGTCACAATGTTCCTATTGTGAATTATTGAGGTGTAAATCATATACATTCAGTTCTTTTGCCAAAATTTAAATGAATTATGTAATCTAGTTTAAGCTCTTTCCACAGCGAATCACAATGGTCTTTGATTTTAAAATATTAACGGAGTCCTCTACGTCACGGTGGATATTCAAATTTGTTTTGATATATATTAAATTACTCTGATACCTTATTTAAGTATGAATTCACTTCAACAAATATCAAATACAGTTTTTACCAAAATAAGTTAATTAAACACTTCAAAATTCCATCACCGCTTTCAGTTTAAAAAAAAAGCACACAAAAATGTTTCATCGACCAAAATACCAAATTATTGAGGAACATTTCAGTCAGAGATAACAACGGATCTGTTCCACCGGTCCCTACCCCTATTGCTTAATTATGACATCACCGAATCAGACTTACTTAACAATGTTTTATTTGCCATGAGCAACCCGACGGATGCCAGTATGGGATCTGGAACAGTTGACCATTCGAGAATACCTAGGTTGACCACCTTTTTTAGTTCGTGTTGCTCAACTTTTAGTGTTGTGCATACTTTATTGTAAAATGTTGTTTGTCTTTTCTTATGCCTTGATGTTGGTTTTTTTTTCTTCGATTTATGGTTTACGATATACCCCTTGTTTTCTTCTCTCTTTCTTTTTATATAAGAAACCGTAAATCCTGCAAATTATAACATTAATTTACCATCAATCATTTAAATTAAATTTACACATTAGAAAGTCCACGTTTTCCAATTTTTTCATATTTTCGTGTCTTTATGAAATATTGTATATTGTAAAC